TAGTGTACTTTTTTATGGATCCAAAATCTTACAGGGAAACACCAGAACAGGAATAGTATGGTCTCTCTTTAGAGCACCTGTTAGGACTCCGGCTCCAGCATTATTGATTAACTGTAACATTTAAGCAACTGTTAGAACATTCATTTAATATGGTGCTACTGTGGTCAAGTCGGCAAGTGATAAAAGCATGGAGCAGTTTTTTTTTTCACATCCCCTTGAGAGAGTATGTTCCTTACTTCACAAAGGTTACAGAGGAGAGGACAAATGCTTTTTGCTGACTTGTTTAATGGAGGATTTGAAGAATAGACCTGGCCCTGGAAGCTCTAAGAGTTTTCAATGTGATTTAATTTATCAAGAATAATTTCATCAAAGTGACTATGATGTGATTGATGATTGGATGATATTCTGAGCTTTTTTGGACCAAAAACAATAACTTGATTTAAATATTTTTTTTTTTTTTTTTTTAAGTCTGTGTTGTAAGATTTCGTATCTACTGTTTCAAAACCTGTTCTGGGATCCAACATAACCAGTATAGTGTAGTGACAAGGCCTTTCTGAGAGGAATAATTCCAGTCCTTGGAATGTAGTGTGTCATGAAGGTTGTAATAAATCTTTAAAAAATGATTCTTTGTATGAATTTTGGACCTTAGGAAAGTATTACAATTTTGCCTGTACTAGAATAATAATAATAATAGGATTTAGCAGAACGTAACCAGTTTAAAACCACAAGTTTGTGTAATATATAATTTTAGTCAGTAGGTGTATTAAGTCATATTATTAGGCAGAATATATGTTAAATTAGCAACTGATGTAGGATTATTAGTAGGTTTAGAGTAGGACTGAGAAATGGTACACTTAAAAACAGAATGATTCTGTTAACATCCACATAGTCATTGATTATTTCAACGGTTATTAAAAAGTGGTCAAATACAGAGTTTGATTAACTGAAAGGTATTTGCCTATTATTAAAAATAGTGCATTACATACGAAATATATTAACAAGTTACTTTTCCCAAAATGGAACTAAGTCACTAGTTACTCTGCAATACATATTTATGATCCAAAATGAGAATAGACTTTAATGACATTTCCTTCATCCTAAATTAATATTCTACAGCTGGCCCAGCTCCCAGTCATTCTGCTGGTTTGAGGTTATCAAATGGTAACATATTTGCTGTTGCAGTTACTGAAATTGAATCAGGCCTAACACCTTTGGTATGTACCCTTTGGGCTAACTGTGCAGTATATAAATCAAACTCTTTGATTCCACTTATAGAAAGACATCACCTGAGGCCTTGAACTTTTGTGCAATGCTGATCAAAATCAAAAGTCAGACCTTTACAAGCCATTATTATGTTTCTGTTTTTTTAGACACCTTCAGAAATGAACTTAAACTAGCAATTTCCAGTAGTGGATCCAATAAAATAATCTGAAAAGCCAGACTGATAATGTGTAGGACTCTTGGTTTATTTGTATACATTATTAAAATAGGCCTGCCCCTATCCGATCAGTTCAGGGAGATGAGGTACGTTTAGCAGAACCTTCTAAGCTGGTTGGGTGAAGTGAATGTTGTGTTAGCCTACCAATTTTTGGTTTTAGCTTATCAAGTAAATAAAGAAAATGTTTTCAGCAACAGGTGCCATGAGAAACTATGAGAAAATACACTTTTACAATTTTGTTGTTCCTCTTGCAAAGATGAAATTGTAGATCCTTACCAAACAGATGTGATACAAGCAAATACACTCAATTCTCCTGCACTTCTGTATTTGCTTTGGTGTTGCTGTTGGCTTGGCTGCTTTTGTTTTCCCACCTAAAGCCATCAGACTCCAAAGTGATTGATTTTGGGGTCGGTCTAATAAGGTTTAAGAGGAAACAGGACAAGATGGATTCTCTTGTGTTTTGAAATGAACAAATCCCGTAAGAATTCACCTCGACTACATGCACATTGTCTTACCTGCTGTTTTATTCTTCATGTCAATGCACATAAGCCCTGTTTTATATATATCTTGATAGACAGACAGACAGACAGACAGACAGACAGACAGACAGACAGACAGACAGACAGATATTATTATATAACATATACAAGCGGCTGCTTCTCCACATCGAGAGGAGCCAGTTGAGGTGGCTCGGGCATCTGATTAGGATGCTTCCTGGATGTCTCCCTGGTGAGGTGTTCTCGGCTCGTCCCACCGGGAGGAGGCCCAGGGGGAGACCCAGGACACGCTGGAGGGGCTATGTTTTTTCGGCTGGCCTGGGAGCACCTTGGGATTCCCCTGGAGGAGCTGGCCCAAGTGGTTGGGGAGAGGGACGTCTGGACCTCCCTACTGAAGCTGCTACCCCCACGATCCGACCCCGAATAAGCGGAAGAAGATGGATTGATGGATGGATGGATTATACAATATTATATATGTAGAGATATTGCAATTGTGGCTAATTTTATAGGAATAATTAATTGTTTTGGCTGTGATTCACCTCGTCATTGTTTTCATGAGTTTGTGTTTTCTCATGCCCATGTCATTAAAGAACTTATGGATGTTCGAACTTCAATGGACTTATTTTTATTTTTCCTTTAGGAAACATGTTTATTACCCTTTTTAACATTTATTCACATCCATGCAACGTGTAGTCAGTGATTTTTTTTAATAATTAATACAGCTGAGCAGGTACAAATTTATACTTGATGGTGAAAGCTGTTTAAAGCGAAGGCCGGTCATGCTCCCTGTAATAGCACCAAATTTAACAGCTGTCAATCTAATGAGGGGCTGGGGTCTTGGAAGAACACCTGCAGACTATTAACAGAACAGGACATTAGGAAAGTGACGACCATGCACTATTTTCTTACAGCTTGACTAAAAGAAGAGACTATATCCAGTTGAGACTAATTTATGAATGTGGATACCCATTAAACTAAACTCTAAAAGATTGGTTGGTCAAAAACAATCTGATTATTCTTCTCACTTGAGGCATCAGACAGTTTGAATGTGCTTGATAATAGTCTAAATTATCTCAGCAGCATAAATGAGATAAAAACGGGTTTTAAATGTTTATTACTTTCATTTTAACCAATGACTTACAAGTTTATTGTATTTTGTTTGTATGTACTTATACTGGCTGTGCTTAACTGAGACAAGTAGCAGAGGTGGAAAACTGAATTTTATGCTCTAAAGACAAATTAAAGTCTCATTAGGGGGTAACTGATGGAAATCTTAACTTGCCTGTAATGTTAGTTCATAGTTTTTTATAAGCAATGCAGATAGAGTTGCACCATATATTATTAAAATAGCTGGTGTCTTTGGCAAATTGTACAAAGCAGCTGCGTTTTTACGATAAAATATTTAAGGAACTTTTACAAATGGTTTCTCAATTTGTGACACAAAATGCCTTTTTTAATGGCTACTGCAGCCAACCTATTCAGGACAAGTATTTTTAGTACTTAGGAAAGAGCCCTTTTGCTTTTATGGCCTGCTGCAAATGGGATTCACACCCAGACACCAGCCGCTGGCAGTGTTTGTGATTAATCCTAACCCACTCCTCATGAGCAAAGGGTTCCAGTTCATGAATAATCTTGGGTACGCTTAGTGTAACTGCCTTTTTCAAATCCCACCAGATGTTTTCAATGCAGTTCCAGCCAGGCAACTATGATGGTCATGCTAGTATCTCCTAGGACTAGTTCTGAAACTCTGCCTTGGGGGACTATTAGATATGCCAAAGATCACTGTCCTGTTTGAAGATCCACTGAACCCCAAACTTTAGCTTCTTTAAAGGGAGCATGACTTTTTCTCCCAGCATTCCCTGATAGTTGACTGGATCCATTTTGTTCTTCAAATGCTTCACTTTTGCAGTGCCACATAAAGTACAGCAGCCCTAGAAGATCACTGAGCCATCACCATGCTTTACTCTTGTCAGGGGTGTCCTATTCAGTGTCTGCCTCACTCATCCTCCAAATGGTTGAAAAGCTGCAGTTTGGATTCCTGGCTCCTCAGAACAGAAAACCCTAATCTCTTTAGATTATTTAATATCTGAAGTTGACCTTTCATGTGCATTCAGAATTATTTATATCAGTGGGTTTCAAAAATATGAAGACTACAGTTGTCTTGGGGTATTTGCAGTTTGGATGAAATCTTGAAATATTATCTTTATTTAATGGAAATCTTCCCACAAGCAGAACTATTTTTGGGGGCTTCATATCTTTAGATGCGACTATATCAATACATGTAGATTAAAAGGGCATATTTGTCAGTTTAATTCAGCCTTTAAGCAGGTAATGCACTTTATTGTTGTGTCGCTAGAATGGCCCTGCCACCATGACAGATTTGAAAACACATTTTTTTCTATTATTTTATGTCATTTCATGTCTCTCCCTTCCTTTATCAATCTGCAAGTCCAATTACAAATACTTTTTTGGCTGTATGCATTTTTGTTTCCAGAATGGTTGAACAAAATGTGGCTTTACATTTATCTATATGTTCATGTACTTTTTTTACTTGAAGATTTTCTTTCCTCTGAATGCAAAATGGGAAGAGTTTGTTCCTCCTGTTTGTAGTTTATGTATATGCCCAGAAGCAGCTTTCTATTTGGCATTCAGAGTGAATCAGAATTCTTATCTAACTCTCTCTAAGAAAGTATGTAGCACTGCACAGTTTCTTTAGCCTTTAAGTATATAGCTGACCCGTGCTGTATCTGTAAAATGAGGCAGCGTGCATTGTGGGACTGTTAGTAGAAAATACTTTTCGTTCCACTGTGGGGATTTCTCTGAGTGCTGAGCTGAGGTTATGTAGTGTATAAATATCACACTAAAAATACTAATCTGAGAAACCTTTAATAAAATAGGAAATGGTGAGATTGCAGCACACCGTTCAACAAACTGGAAGCAATTTTAAGCACAACCTTTGAAGAATGTGATTTGTCAGAGTAGGCACCATTGCAACTACTGTGATGCTGATTCAGAGCAGCAAAAATTTTAAGTTTTTCTTCCCCTGTCAACCTCCTTATCTTTTTCTGAAGATCCCTCAGATCAGCTACGCGTCAACAGCCCCGGAGCTAAGCGACGACAGGCGCTATGACTTCTTCTCACGGGTTGTCCCTCCAGACTCATTCCAGGCCCAGGCCATGGTTGACATCATTCAAGCCTTAAACTGGACCTATGTCTCTACTGTCGCCTCAGAAGGCAGCTATGGAGAGAAGGGAGTGGAGGCTTTCACCCAGCTCTCCAAGGAAGCAGGTAAGGCATAGAGATTGGCACCGAATGCAAATACTGCACTGCAGAAAATGTAATTCTTTTTCAAAAATCTATCTTTTTGATTAAAAATATTTTTTCACTTTACTGACTCAGTATGAGGTTCCTGTTTATTATAAAATCTGTTTTGAGTGGATTAATTATTGATCTTTTTAGCTGAGTGAGTTGTGGAATGTGACTGGAAATGTAGATAGAGAAACAACTGGCACACAGAATATCTGCAGTAAGAATTTCCTGTTCTCTTTTCATCTTTCTTTAGCTTTGTAGTATTTTTTTCAAATAATGAACATGGAGGAAGCTAGGCTTAACTTTGGCTCATTGCAGTGTTAGTTATTTGCTTCAACCGAGAACCTATACAATATGTCACATTTGTCACATTTATCATATCAGTTATTGTGTAAAAAAAATTAGAAGAAAGTATTATTTTGAGAAAAAACTGTCTATTTGGCTCAAGTAGGGGTACTCCTACCCCTACTTGTCATTAAAGACACCTTTAATGACAAAAACAAATGCCAATATGTAGAGTTTTCTAAATTTAAAGTGAAATAGTGTGCTGGTTCAGCAAATATTTAAATTCAGCTTTTCAGCAAATAAAGATGTGTTTGCAAGGGAGGAAAAGAGAGTTCCCCACCCCCTTACATGGGAACAGAACACCTCGCCTGTTCAGCCATGCCAAAAATTCCCTTTAAACACCCCCATTTCAGAGACATAGACAGATATCTGATACTACAGGCTAACAAAGAGACCAAAAAAAAAAAAAAAACACTCCAAAGGGGGGGACCTGTTCATCTGATTCAAATTGGATTTTTTTTCCAAGCCAAAACAAAGTTTGTTTTTGGTCCACTCTATAAAGCCTCAAACTCAAAGCTATTTCTGACATTTTGAATTGAAAACGTTTCCTGGATGGGAAGCAAAACGTCTTAAAACTTTGAAACCAGTGGATTGTTTGTTTTTTTACTTTTTTGGAATACTGGAACAAAAGCTTTTTTATAATTGACAGTGCAATAATTCTTTATTTCTTTAATGAAAAAGGACACTTGATTTTTTAAAATATATCTCAGTGCAGATTAATATTCATAAAATGTCAACATTCGTTTTTTACGTCAACTTCACTACATTAAGCAGTTTTTAAACCTAAGGTAGACTACAGTCCAACTTGCCACAGCTTTACACCTGCACCAAGCTAACACATGTGCTAGCAAAGCACATTTATGGTTTACAAGGCCGGTTAGATACCATCAGTGGTCATTTTCACAAACAAAGGAGTCTGATGCCTCACAAAATAATGCCCTACCTGAAAATAATTAAAACGCTGAGCAACTTTTCAGAATCTCCCCAGCAGTTAATTAAGTGTTGAAAAATAAAAATTTGTCCACTGTACACTGTACTAAAATTTGCACTCAGTATCATAAGACAGTTTATTAATCAATCTATTTTCAAAAGCAACATAGAGTTTCTATTATTTGGTTCTGTTATCAAAGGCCACTTATTTTAGCGAATTGTTTTGTTTCTTTTCTTATTTGTCTTTATCCATAAGGTAATGTTTTAAAAATAGGATTTTAAATTAAATAAAATACATCTATAATGTGGTATGATTTATTCCTGCTGCTGCTTAACGATGTGGTTTGTATGAACAGATGTTCAAGAAGTAAATATTACCTGTTGTTGGGTTTATATAGTAGCAGAGGATCCTAACTGATGATTTGTTGTGTTTTTTTGCCTTATGAAGATATTGCACTTCCGTTTACTTTAATGCCGTGTTTTCTGAGCTTTCCATTTTGAAGAATGGTTAAAACTATTAATCTTCTTTGTCCAAAAAATAATTATTTGATTCCTACACTTCAAAATCTTAGTAAGTCAATTTTTCCTAATGTAAGTGCATTTTGTCTTGAATTAAGCAGGTAAAGTGAGACACTTTTGCCAGTGGAATAAGACAAATATTTAAAATAAGAAAACAAATAATTNAAAAAAAAAAAAAAAACACTCCAAAGGGGGGGACCTGTTCCTCTGATTGAATTTGGATTTTTTTCCAAGCCAAAACAAAGTTTGTTTTTGGTCCACTCTATAAAGCCTCAAACTCAAAGCTATTTCTTACATTTTGAATTGAAAATGTTTCCTGGGTGGGAAGCAAAACGTCTTAAAACTTTGAAACCAGTGGATTGTTTTTCTTCTCTGAGTTTCACACTCTGGTTTAAAACACAGTGTGGCGCTTTTGCCAACCTCTGTCCTGTGGTTGACATTTTATGAATATTAATCTGCACTGAGATATATTTTAAAAAATCAAGTAACCTTTTTCATTAAAGAAATAAAGAAAGACTAAGCTTGTAGAGTGTTATATGCAGAAACATAAGTAACTCACATCTCTTTGTATTGCTAAATTCATGGATAACCTCTCTGGTGGATAACCTCTCTCCCTTTCCAGTGTTCTATAGCTCTTAGTTAACTGCAGCCCACCCAGCTTGGTTGCTGAGTGAAGTAGACACTTGACAGAGTTTCTTAAGATTTTGTCGGTCATGAAACATCCACTATTATTTTCTAAACATAATTTGTATGTCCAGCTTATCACTACATTAAGCAGTTTTAAATAATTACCACTATGCCATTAAAGCTTGATATGTGGTGCTTTCGCATTATTAAGTATATCGCAGCAGATTTCTATGTTTGTTTTATTAAGTGCACAAGAAAACCCAAACCTAAGGTAGACTACAGTCCAATTTGCCAGAGTTTTACACCTGCACCATGCTAACACATATGCTAGCAAAGCACATTTATGGTTTACAAGGCCGGTTAGATACCATCAGTGGTCATTTTCACAAACAAAGGAGTCTGATGCCTCACAAAATAATGCCCTACCTGAAAATAATTAAAACGCTGAGCAACTTTTCAGAATCTCCCCAGCAGTTAATTAAGTGTTGAAAAATAAAAATTTGTCCACTGTACACTGTACTAAAATTTGCACTCAGTATCATAAGACAGTTTATTAATCAATCTATTTTCAAAAGCAACATAGAGTTTCTATTATTTGGTTCTGTTATCAAAGGCCACTTATTTTAGCGAATTGTTTTGTTTCTTTTCTTATTTGTCTTTATCCATAAGGTAATGTTTTAAAAATAGGATTTTAAATTAAATAAAATACATCTATAATGTGGTATGATTTATTCCTGCTGCTGCTTAACGATGTGGTTTGTATGAACAGATGTTCAAGAAGTAAATATTACCTGTTGTTGGGTTTATATAGTAGCAGAGGATCCTAACTGATGATTTGTTGTGTTTTTTTGCCTTATGAAGATATTGCACTTCCGTTTACTTTAATGCCGTGTTTTCTGAGCTTTCCATTTTGAAGAATGGTTAAAACTATTAATCTTCTTTGTCCAAAAAATAATTATTTGATTCCTACACTTCAAAATCTTAGTAAGTCAATTTTTCTTAATGTAAGTGCATTTTGTCTTGAATTAAGCAGGTAAAGTGAGACACTTTTGCCAGTGGAATAAGACAAATATTTAAAATAAGAAAACAAATAATTGCATTGTCTTATTTCAAGTGCATATCTAATTATCTTATTTTAACGTTAAACATACTTATTCCACTGGCATATCATATTTTTTTATACTCATATTGAGGGTTAATATATTTATTTTAATAAATGTTGAATTACTTTTTGGATAGTTGTATTTATCTATAAGCAGTTGTTGCTTTGGTAGTGCTGTTTTTTAAATAAAAAAATAGTCTCTAAATTCATTTTCAGGCTTTTTAGACAATTCTATGCAGTACTAGTAACTCTTATTGAGGTAATGTTCACAGTTGTGCCACCAGTGTACTTAATCGCCCACAGTTAAAATATGCATGACAAGAGATTCCTGTTCATGGTCTTTCAGCTTAATGTAACTCTTATGTTGCAAAAACAAAAAGTAGCTTTTTCTGCAGAGAGCATTAAACAAAAGATGACTAAGTGGAGAGATTTTGGGAAAAAATTCTTTAAAAATTTTCTTTACTTGTCTGAATGTACAATAGTATGAATTCCTAAGTGGAAATGATCATATTGGAGGCTGAACTAATGCTTTATGTTTAAATGCTTGGAAGATGATATGTGATTTGTATTCAAACACTGGGCTGTGTTTTCCTGCTGCAAAAAGGATCTGGCAACTGTGCATACGCTCGACTCACCTGTTCATTCCATTCTGGTGCTGCCGGCTGCATATAGCTGTGTCAGTCAGGAGTTCTACTATCAGCAGAACAAACTGTTTATATACAGTTCGGTGGGTCAGCTAGCTTTATCAAATCATGTGGTTCATTGCATTGTGCTTCAGACTTGAGTCTGTACAGATTCTACACAGTGGCTGATGCAGTTTGTGTGCAACATGAGGCCAAAGGTGCCTCATTACAAAGCACTGGGTGATTAACCAAATATGTCTGGTGATGCTTTCTTTCACCTGCACCTCTGTGGAACCCAGTATAATCCCTGCACATTTGTTAGGAGTGAGCTTTGTCTTGCCTCTTAATAGACCAATGTGCATAACCCTCAAAAATATGGAAAGCTAATGATATCCCGCAGGCAATGATCAGAAGACCAGTGTATATGAATATTATATCTTTGTGCATTCGTGTCCAGTGTGTCCACACACAAAAACTTTAAGAAGCTGTTTGTGGCTGTATAATTTGCATCAAAAGACGGAAAAAGAGAGTATCAAGAGAAAAAAAGAGAGATGAAGTACCCTGTGTGGTAGTGAATTAAGAAAAGTCCTGATTAAAGGCTTGTTTTGGAAGTCTGAGTTCGTCTCATGTCCTGAAATAAACAGTGCTTCCACCAGCTGAGCTTCACAGATGCATTGCTGCTAATGCTTATTCTTTCTTATGCAAAGAGCTGTAAACAGAGTGATATAATTATGATTCCCAAACAGCAACACAAGAGGTACGGAATTATAGCTATTGTTGTTTTGCACTCATTCTGCTCCCGTCGAGCTCCAGTCGCCACATTATTTTGTATT